CAAACTAGCAGTTAAATAGTTAACCTGCCGGCCGGCAGTACCACTGGGTACGTCATCAAACCCAATGTGGGGACTGCTGAGCCGGCCTTAGAGCATTAAGTACCTGAACACCTAATGGTATACATCTACTGGCTTTAGAAGCAGTAGGTACCTGAACACCTAATGGTACACATCTACTGGCAGTAGAGTATTCTACTGATTTTAGAAGAAGCGCTCACCGCAGCTCACTGAGTCTGTTGGCCTCAGTTATTTGACGGCCGCATTCAGTGAGCTTGCAACATAGTGTGTGCTGCATCGGACCACCTTGCGGTGTGTCAACTGGTCTTGAAGGCGGTAGATAGTACTCACCAGACCATCTTACGGTGTACTTCTACCAGCCTTAGAGAGTATTTACAGGACTACCGGTGATGTCTGCGGACTCACCGCCTACGCTGGTCAACTGTGGGCCGGAGTCATCGGATGCTGTTTAGTGGGACATTACATGAAGAAAAGGTTGGAGTGTTGCACTGAACAGGGCTAGGACTGTAGTGTGACACTTAAGCAAGTATGATGGAGTGGAACACTGAGATATGCTACAGGACCGTAGTGGAACACTGAGAAGAAAAGGGTGTCGTGTGACACTGAAGATGGCCTGGTTGTAGTGTACATTGAATAGTGTCATGTGACTGGCCTCGACAAAGACGCTATGTGGGTAGTGTGACGCAGAGACAAGGGTGTCAAGTGTGACACGGTTGCGAAAGTGTGTATTACACGCAGAAAAGGGTGTTAAGTGACACGGTGGAGTAAGAGCGTCACAACTTGGATAAGTGTCGTGAGAAACGCAGTTGATTGTAATATATTATTTTAAATGTTACTTAATTTATTATTTTAGCATCGATATATATATATAGTGACACAGTAGTGTCAAGAAAGTTGTACCGTGTGTAGGGTTACAAATTATTTATTTTAGTTAGATGCTAATTATAATTTATTATTGCAACATGTATATATTATCAGATGTTTATTAGTTCAAATACATCTAGACCAAAGATAGTTTTTATATTATATTACCCCTCAAGGAAGGTTCCTTGATGTTGGTGAGGGGCTCTTGATTTAGGGAATTGGATCTGTGCTCCAGTTCCCCGAATTAAGCCTGAATGCCTTCCACATCCCCCCCCCCAGGCGCTGTATAATCCTCCGGGTTTAGCGCTTCCCCCTTAATTATAATAATAATAATAATATATTAAAGATTCGTTTATTTTAATGTTGTATTTATGTATCCCGAACTTTTTATTACAAAATGAGTAAAACTACCATCTTAAAAATAACTTTTTTTGTAATAGGTATTGTACCTGCTTGGAAGTATTGTACCTGCCTGGGGGTATTGTACCTGCCTGGGGGTATTGTACCTGCCTGGGGGTATTGTACCTGCCTGGAAGTATTGTACCTGCCTGGGGGTATTGTACCTGCCTGGGGGTATTGTACCTGCCTGGGGGTATTGTACCTGCCTGGGGGTATTGTACCTGCCTGGGGGTATTGTACCTGCCTGGAAGTATTGTACCTGCCTGGGGGTATTGTACCTGCCTGGGGGTATTGTACCTGCCTGGGGGTATTGTACCTGCCTGGAAGTATTGTACCTGCCTGGGGGTATTGTACCTGCCTGGGGGTATTGTACCTGCCTGGAAGTATTGTACCTGCCTGGAGGTATTGTACCTGCTTGGGGGGGTATTTGTAACCTGCCTGGGGGATTGTACCTGCCTGGGGAATTGTACCTGCCTGGGGAATTGTACCTGCCTGGGGGTATTGTACCTGCCTGGGGGTATTGTACCTGCCTGGGGGTATTGTACCTGCCTTGGGGGAATTGTACCTGCCTGGGGGAATTGTACCTGCCTGGGGGAATTGTACCTGCCTGGGGGAATTGTACCTGCCTGGGGGAATTGTACCTGCCTGGGGGTATTGTACCTGCCTGGGGGTATTGTATCTACCTGGGAGTATTGTATTTGCCTGAAGGCATTCTTCCTGCCTTACTGCCTGAGGGTACTGTACCTGCCTGGGTATGTTACCTGCCAGGGGCACTACATTGGAAAAGCGTTAAACTAGTAGGAATCTTTCCATGCCTGAGGAATTGCAGGTAATCAACTGTGATTGAGGAAAAAATAGTAGTTCTAGTTCCTTGGATAAAAAGCCTTCTCTAGTATCACATTAACCCCCCTAAAGAACTAGGCACCGTACAGCCTATAGAAAATCCTTGATACAGAGGAACTAAAGCAATGACGCTTTGACAGGGAAGCTTAATGCTGCTGAATGGTTCTTGGACCAAGGTAAAGGAGCTACACTTTCTTTTCCATGACTTGAAATCATTGCCTCCCAGTCTCCAGGCTTTAAATTTTAAAGGAGGTGGAGGGGTAAGCCAGTGGAAAGCCTCGGTCAGGTGACCAAAAGCTCCAGCGGCAGATCATCATATGACAAAAACCCGCGTCAGGAAACACTTGTACTGTTTCCTGACAAATCTTACCTAACCTTCTCCAGGCGTTGTAACTCCCCTACGGGTTTTAGTGGCTGCCAATAATTGATGCGCACTCAGCTGTGTTCAAGTTTGAAATAATCTCACTTTATAATCAGATGCTCTGGAAATGTCAAATATATATTTTCCTAGAAATAAATTTCACTTACATTTATTGATGTCCAGTGTAGACCTAATTAAAGAACAATATATTGATGCCACATAATAAAGTTTGAATCAGCTACTTGTGCAAAAGTAACCGATTTCTTTCCCTGGCCTCATCTCTGCCTCGCCTCTGTTCAGATCCTGGTTGAAAGCACGAGGATAAAGGGAATCAAATAGATAGGAAAAATAGGCGTAGCGCATATTCCAAGAGTAATAAGGTCTTTGATATACAAAGAAGGGGCAAGCTTCAGATGCATATAGTGTACTAAACTTAAGATATATTTAAAACATAGGCAACACAATCTCAGACGAATTAGTTGATCTTTTGCTTCTCAGTTTTCGTAATTTAAGGAGCGTACACTAGCCTGTTTATTATAATTATTATAATCCTGGGGGAGCGACTAGCCTGTTCCGCAAGTTAAATATACATTTAATGTGTTAAAGCTGAAACAATTGCTAGCAGAATGGAAAAAATATTTACCTGGTTTCAAAAGAATACATGATAGTACCCAAGATGATACGAACAACACGACACTAGAAGCCAGAACGAAACGACACATACAGATGCAGTTCGGCGATTATAAAACTACCTGTTACATTAATGTCTGGTATTACCACGACATGTGAGTAGTTATGGTAACTGAGGATGTGGTTCAGAGAACCGACAAGTTGATAATTGAGATACTTGTGCAACACCCAAGTGTTGCACAAGTGTCTCAGAGAAAAACTTTACCATAAGTTGATAACTATCTCGTTTCAAAGGCTACAACTTTCGACATTTTCCCCCAGGGGTCACTTATAATATATTATTATTTATATTATATACTAGATATATATAATATATTCACAAGAGTGACTAAAAATAAATTATACATTATAAATCCTGCCCAGGGTGTTTACACAACGAAAGAAATGATTAATCCGCTTGTGCATTTAACGGACTGTTAGTTTCCCAAGGCTTTGGCAATTCCGGCATCTTTGATCCTTCATGTGACTGGACTCCTTGCAATGTACAACATATAATCTAGAGACGGTCAACATCCTTGATCTCAACAATCTAAAGCAGTCCTTGCAAGTCCATCATTAAAGGTTCCAACAACTTTAAGCGTTCCCTGCAAGTACTAATCCCAAGCCTTCCTGCAAGGTCATTTAATGAAAGATTCCTGCAAGGTCTATTTAATTAAAGCAGGTTCCTGCAAGGTCATAAACTAAAATCCTTGCCAACGTCAGTATAATTTTGGAATCGCAGGTTCCTGCAAGTTCATTAATTAAATTCAGTTGCCTGTAATTCACATTAATTCAAACAGGTTACCTGACAAGGTCCACTATTAATTAAGTCAGGTCCTGCCAATTCATATAAAGCAGGTTTCCCATTAGCATAAAAAAAAAAAAAAAAAAAAAAAACTGCCCCTAAATACATCAGACAAATCTTACCACAAGACTCATAATTACAAACATCATTAAACCTTCATCAATTACAAAAAAATCCCAGGCTTCACCCTCCGTGTCAGTCCCTGCAAATCTGAATAGTGTAACTCCTCCATACTCCATCCCTCCAATCTGATTTCATCTTTCATCACCTATCTTTTTGTATCCTCATAACCTTACTCTTTCCTGTATTCACCTTTAATTTTCTTCTTTTGCACACCCTACCAAATTCATCCATATATATATATATATAATATAGAGTAATATATATATAAATGCGACCCAGTGTCAGTAAGTGCAGAACGAAAGAAATAGATTCAGTCTTGGTTTGTGCATTTAACTCGTGGTTAGTTTCCCAAGATGTCTTTGGGCAATTTAGCATCATTTGGATGTCTGCTGACGGACTCTTGAATGTACATACATATAATCTAGCGACGGCAACATCCTTGATGCTTCAAGGTCATATTAAAGCAGGTTCCTGCAAGGTCATATTAAAGGTTCCTGCAAGGTCATATTAAAGCAGGTTCCTGCAAGGTCATATTAATTAAAGCAGGTTCCTGCAAGGTCATATTAATTAAAGCAGGTTCCTGCAAGGTCATATTAATTAAAGCAGGTTCCTGCAAGTCATTAATAAAGTCCTGAAGGTCATATTAATTAAAGCAGGTTCCTGCAAGGTCATATTAATTAAAGCAGGTTCCTGCAAGGTCATATTAATTAAAGCAGGTTCCTGCAAGGTCATATTAATTAAAGCAGGTTCCTGCAAGGTCATATTAAAGCAGGTTTCCTTCATTAGCAAAAAAAAAAAAAAAAAAAAAAAAACCTGCCAACTAAAATACATCAGATTAATGAAACAAAACACGAAATATTAGCAGAAGCAGTAATAAACTTCACAGAAGCAAAAAAAATCCCAGAGGGCGCCACCTACCAGTGTTGGTGATCCTGGTGACGACTGGTGGTTGTTGTGTGTTGAACCAGAGGTGACACCAACCAGCGGGAGGCTTGGTGCTTCTGGTGACTCCCAGCAACCTCACACACGGCTTTCCTCCTGCACCAGGTAATATATAATTTAATGTGTGTGTGTTAATCATTTATCTACAGTTAGTGTTATTCGCAGGTCATTACAGTTGTTTATGGATTAAATTCCACTTTCATTATGATGTTCCTTATCAGCGTCAATTTTTCACCAGTAGTTTCATTAGTATATTATAATTCGTCATTTTTATAAAAGTTTTCTCTCTCAAGTATAATTAAGTTAAGAGTTTAATACTTCTCAGATATATTCTGAATTTCTACCACTAAAATTTCAGCATCAGACATTTTTGACAGTGCCTCCTTTATTCTGTTTCTTCTCCACACTGAGTATTTTCCACTGAATACGACTTCATTCAGAGTACTTCTTTCCTTTGATTTCAGTTGGGAAAATTACATTTGGTTGTTATTTATAATATCCCTTAACTCTAGTCGTTTTTAAGTAACTTCATCTAAGTTACTGTACAAAATGTTAACAAATATATCTCATTATTTCCTTATTTTTTCCTTTTCTTTTGGTTACACTAATAAGTGTTTTTTCTTCTTTAGTGCTATCTTCGTTTATTCCCTTAGTATTGTTTCTGAAATTTCTTAGTTTTAAGTCCTTAGTTGTCTTTGTCAAAGTTTGGAGTCATATTTGACTCCAAGGATATCAACTTCATCCCCTGGTACCAAAACTTTTCCATTCATTCTTAACTCTGCTCCAGGATTTCCATCATGGTACCTAGAGATCCATCATTAGCGTTTTCTCAGGAGTAAATGTGACCCTCCATCGCTTTTTTCCAGGCTGCTATAGCTGTAAGTTGGTAATTGATGTAAGTCAGAGCAGCGGGCATTTCCTCTCTTGCATAAGTAAATGTCAGAGTTCAGTCGTCTGCCTATACATAGGATTTTGGGATGAGATGAATATGGCCAATGAAGCAGACATTCCACAACAATGGACCAAGCAAACTTTCCTGTGGAACACTTGCACCAATAGTGTGTCTTGTTGACTATGTCCCATTGAAAACTACTCTTAGAGATCTACATTGAAGATAATCACTTAGGAGACATAGTGTAGAGCCGGCGACTCCTAGTTCTTGCAGTTTTGCCAAGAGTCCCTTGTGCCTTCTCGGTCGAAAGCACCAGCACAGCTGATCTTGGTTCATGTAGTGACTGGTAGAGAGGTTTAACAGCAGATCAGCATCAGAGTGATCTTTTCTGAAATCATATTGTCAGTCACAAAGAAGCGAGTGGTAGTTGAAAAACTGTTATCTGCTGTGAAATTATTCTCTCAAGAATTTTGCCAGTGATTGACAAGAGTGACACTGGTCTGCAACTGGTGATTTTCGCTCTGCTTTTCTTTTTGTGAACAAGGACTACATTTGCCTCTTTCCACAGAGAGGGCTATCAGCACTGTGCTAGACAGTGCTGATAGATGCGAGTAAAAGGTGATGCTAGCTGGTCTGCACATCTACTCGGTAATCTTGGGCTCAGTTTATCAGGGCCCCACAGCCTTCTCTTGTTTCATTGATTGAGGGAGAAGATACACTTCATCCTGCCTTATTGTCATCACTGACAACACTGACAGTTCTTGCGGCTAGCCAAGAGATCAGGAACTTGCATCTTGGCAACAAAGTGTTCGGCAAAGAGGTCAACTTTCTCTTGAGATGGTCCCATCCTGTCAATTTAGTGGAGTAATTTCATAAGGTGTCGGTTCTTGACCAGGACCACAAGGTTTTGGAGCCCACTCTACCTGACGCCAGCTTTCTTTTGCCAGCCTCCTATCTAGAGATGGCCTACTTTTGGACTTCTTCCATTTGCCAACAGGCTTGCCTGTGCAGATTCCTGCTGGGTAGTGGGATGCCTCTTATACCTTCTCCGAGCCTTGTACTTAGCAATAGCAGCCTCTCGACAAAGCTAGCAGAATCAAGGCCGATTGGAAGACTTCGTCTCTCTCTCTCTTTCTTTCCCTTTCTCTCTCCCTTTCTCATTTTTCTCTCTCCCCTTCTTGCTCCCCCTCCCCCCTATCTCTCTCCCCCTCTCAATATTTATATTACATACACACAGCTAAATATTATAATTTCCCGCCTTCTGCAGTAATTTTATAGCCAACCTCATCTTAATGCTTTTGTTGTTGCCATGTTTGCTAGACACTGGTACATGGAAGGGATTCTAGCCCGTTTTGATAAGGGGTCATGATGGCAGTTTTCTAAAGTATAGATGGCCAATGATAAGTTTGCTTTATTGCAATAGGCCAAAATTGAGTTGTATTATTTTTTTTTTTTTTAGACGTGCTCAGTAATTGATATTATCAAATATTGTTATACCGCCACAACAATAATAAATATTATTGTTTATATTAGAGTGAATCATTCTCACCAGACACATCCCAGGTCTTGGCCTCTCACTAGACACATCCCTTGTCTTGGTCTCTCACCAGACATCCCTGGCCGTCATCTTTCACCAGACACATACCTGGTCTTAAGGCAAGGAGTGGTGGAGGTTTGATTCTCGCCTGCTAAGAGGAAGACAAAAATGCTACTCATGGCACTAGGCATCTACCCTTATTTGAGGAGAGAATTTGACATGAAATATGGAAATCAACATGTAATCCGATGTATTAAACTCAGAGCATAAAGAATGAGCACTGCAGCAGGCCTACTGCGTATGCTAGGCAGGTCCAAGTCACCTACTGACCTATGCTAGTCAGGTCCAAGCCACATCCATTTACGAAGGAAGGAGTACTGCATCAGACCTATTGGCCTACTCATGTTCGAATTGAGGGGTGAGAGTGCTGAGACATGACTTACCTGGGTTGGGGTCGTAGAAGGCTGAGTAGAGTAACATGGTACTGGTGTTAACCCGCACTTCCTGCCAGTGAATGTTCACCCACTGTATGCTGTAAGAGAAACGCATTACGGATGCATTTATTTTAGCTTGTTGAAAGAGCTGACGTATGTTACTGATGTTATAGGTTAGGGCAGAGGGGTAATGTTTGTGGTGGTGGTGGTGATGCTCTTAATGAAGGTGGTGGAGGTAGTGATGGTACTGTTAAGCCTGGTGCTGATGACTAACTGTAGTGGCTGTTTGTTCTTGATTATAATAAAGTTAACATCGGTATTGGTGGCACTGGTGTAGAAAATACTGTATATTTTCCAAAAATACAGTGTATTTTGTATGTAAATTGATGGCATATATTGTAGGTAATAAAAATTAATTTGCAAATGAAGAACCAGCGATGGGTGAGCGTCGCTGGGGAGGAAACACCATTGTTTTTGAATGGAGTGAAGGCACGCTAGTGAAATGTGCATAAATTTCTTTGCTCTGGAAGTTAAATTGTGGTTGAAACTTCCCAAATAGGAGCCGAAATTGTTGGATTTACAGTCCTCCATAATGTGAGCAGATGGACAGGACAGCTTTGGAACCCCGGCTAAGTTGTCTATTTATGTTGAAATTCTGACCAGTATTTTCTTCATAATTTAGGCAGGGGGGGGGGGTTGAATATGACACACCGTAATCTCCAGACTAATTGGCGAGTGTTATTATAAATTTTCCTTCAATGTATATGTATTCACATTTTAAATTTAATATACAGTCCACATATTTAATGTTTTTACCAGAATTTCTGGTGATGTATATTTCATTTGAAATTAATATAGGTCCAGAGTGACTTGAGAGAGAGATTATCGTAGGTATCGAAGGAGGACATTTTTTTGCGACCTAGGTGTCCTAAAATTCCTACTTGTCTCTGTAACCTTGATAACGAATAATTATCTTTGTTACCATTTACTGGTATGTATCTTATGAGTTACATCCAGGTAAATTTAATTTTCCACAACTGGTAATTGTTTCTTCCATGCACTGTTTGCATATCATAACACGCCCGTACACACACAAAGAATTAGTGTGACTTAATTCTAAAAATCATCAAAAAAAAAAAAAAGTGTAGCCTAGCATATTATAAGCAGTGACTAATTTTCAAATACATGGGAAATGCTAAGTGTACCATGGGTATTTTTATGATAAAATATCTCGTACACCAGTAAGTATTGTTATAGTAAATATTAGTATATATTGATAAGGAATAGTGAGAAATAATTCTGCAGTCTTTAAAAGAGTAGCATAACCTAGCATAATAATCTGACCCCATTTTTTTTTCCTGAAAGAGACAACCGTGTAAACGCGCGCGCGCGCGCACACACACACACACACACACACACACACACACACACACACACACACACACACACACACACACACACACACACACACACACACACACACACACACTCGTGGAGGAGTCACCCGATTTGAGCTCGTGTTTTGGTGGTAATTTCTGACTGTACCATAAGGAATAGAGTGTGGGATATAGGCGTGTGCATGCATAAGAGTGAATATAATCACTTAAGCCCCGAAAAAAGGAAATATAAGTGATCACAGAAAAGCAGTTTAGTAAATAGTGACAGTTACTATGTGGGGGACGTTGGAAGGAAGGTGAACGGTTGTGTCAGGCCTAAATAGTGTTGCCATAATAACGCAGTGGGGTATTTGAAGAATAAGTGCGACTCAAGATCAGGGAGATAAGAGATATGTATAGATGTGTCAGTAAATGCATTGAGTGAGTGAAAAAAAATAGGATTGGCATTTTTTTGGGACTCCCAAGAAGGCGTTTGACAAAAGTCCCACACAAAAATTTTAAGTGAAAAAACTGGGGCCCAAAGCGGGGGATAACGGGGGAAGGACTCAAGGGGATCGGGGAATATTGTCGGGAAAGGACAGCAGCGAGTCTGGAACGTGGCGGGGTGTCAGAGGGGGCACCTTGACCACGGGGTCCCCACGGGGGTCAGCCCCTAGGACCATTGCTGTTTTTTGGTATTTTTGGGCGACATGAATTTATAAAAAAAGCAAAGAACGGTCAAAAAAACAAAGGGGGCGCAGGGGCAGAAAGGACTACCCCCTTGGGTTTACATACTAAATGAGGAGTGTTGAAAAAAAAGTAGATGAGCTAAAATTAATTGCAAGTGCGGGAAAATAGATATTATTGCTATAACAGAGACCTGGCTCAATCTGAAAGATAGAGAGATCCCATTGAATGTCACATAAAAAGGCTTAAATTATTCCACATGACAGGGTCAACAGGAAGGTGGTGGGAAAAAGTAGCGATGTATGTCAGAGACAATTTAAATTGTTGTGTTAGACAAGATATTAAATTAGAAGCGTCAGCCACTGAATCTGTTTGGTTACAGCTTCTCGAGGGCCGGGGAAAAACTAATTTTGGGTGTGATTTACAGGGCCCCAAATCTTGATAGGGAGTGCAGTTAAACTTTATGGGACGAAATTCGTAAGGCATTACATACGAAAATGTTGTGTAATGGGAGATTTAAAATATAGACAGATTGATTGGAGCAATTTGACGGAAATTTAGAGTCGGGTGACTTTCTTGTACGATCCAGGATTGTTTTTTAAAACAGTTTGTGACAGAGCCAACTAGGGGAAAAAACCTCCTTGACTTGGTTCTTGCCAGTGGGGAAACACTAATTAAAAATCTTGAGGTTAATGATGAGCTTGGGAGGGGGTGATCACAAATCACTCAGTTTTAACATATCATGGAATTCCCTAATAATGGAAATCAAAGTCTCCGTCCCTGACTTTCGCTTGGCTGATTTCATAGGACTGAAAAATTACTTAGGTGGGCTGAACTGGAATGACCTGACTAGGGGTAGGTAGGTGGTGATGGTTGCCGATATGATGCTTTCCAGGGCATAGTTCTAGTTTGCTCAGTCAAATTATGTTCCAAATAGGGAAATCAGATCAAACAAAAATGATCCTAAATGATGAACAATAGATTAAAATATCTGATTGGTCAAAAGAGAGGCTATATAGGGAAATCAAAAGAGGAGAGGGGCAATTAAGAAATCGATTTATTCAGTTTAAAAAAGAGAAATAAAAAAGGGAATTAGAAAAACAAAAAGAGATTATGAGGTTAAAGTTGCAAGAGAATCGAAGACTAACCCAAAAGGATTCTTTCAGGTATACAGAAGTAAGATCAGGGACAAGATAGGCCCACTCAAAAGTTCCTCGGGTCAGCTCACGGGCAGTGATAAGGAAATGTTTTTAGAATTTTTACACATACTTCCTCTCAGTTTTTTCACAGGAGGATTACCAGTGATATTCCAGTAATGATAAATTTGTAGAACAGGACGATAATAAACTGTGCACTATTAGGGTCACAAGTGACATGGTCCTTGGGCAAATAGATAAATTAAAACCTAACAAATCCCCAGGCCTGATGAACTGTATGCAAGGGTTCTAAAGGAATGTAAAGAGGAGCTTAGCACACCTTTGGCTAATCTTTTCAACATATCACTACAAACTGGCATGGTGCCAGATAAGTGGGAAAATGGCAAATGTGATACCTATTTTCAAAACAGGTGACAGGTCCTTAGCTTCGAACTATAGACCAATAAGCCTAACCTCCATAGGGGGAAAATTTATGGAATCAATAATTGCCGAGGCAGTTCGTAGCCACCTTGAAAAGCTTTAAATTAATCAACAAATTTCTCGCTGGTTTTAAAAAGGGGACGTTCCTGCCTTACGAATTTATTAACTTTTTTCACTAAGGTATTTGGGGAGGTAGATCATGGTAACGAATTGATATTGTGTTATATGGACTTCAGTTTAAAGGGTTTTGACAGGGTCCCACATCAGAGACTATTGGGAAAATTAAAGCACATGGAATAGGAGGAGAAATTTTTTCCTGGATAGAGGCAAAGGTTGAACAAATAGGCAGCAGAGAGTTTGCATAAATGGGGAGAAATCAGAGTGGGGAAGCAGTTGGGCCCCCTGTGTTCACAATCTACTAAACGACATAGATGAGGGCTAAGAGCGACATCGGCAAGGTTTGCGATGACACCAAAATAGGCCGTCGAATTCATTCTGACGAGGACATTCGGCACTCCAGGAAGATTTGAATAGACTGATGCAGTGGTCGGAGAAGTGGCAGATGCAGTTTAATATAGACAAATGCAAAGTTCTAAATGTTGGACAGGACAATAACCATGCCACATATAAAACTAAATAAAGTAGATCTTAAAATTACGGATTGCGAAAAAAGATTTAGGAGTTCTGGTTAGCAGTAATCTGAAACCAAGACAACAGTGCATAAGTGTTCGCAATAAAGCTAATAGAATCCTTGGCTTCATATCAGAAGCATAAATAATAGGAGTCCTCAGGTTTTTCTTCAACTCTATACATCCTTGGTTAGGCCTCATTTGGGATTATGCTGCACAGTTTTGGTCACTTTATTACAAAAGGGATATAAATTCTCGGAAAATTGTACAAAGGGGATGAAAAAAGTTGACCCCATGTATCAAAAAACCTTTATGAGGTTTAGACAAAGGGCCCTGAAACTGCACCTCTAAAAAAGACGTAAATTAGGGGGGGATAGGATTGAGGTTTAAAAGTGGAAAAAAGGGAAATTTAAAAAAGGGGGGGATGAAAATAGTGTGTGATAAAAATTCTACCCGGGACGGGCTCGCAGAAAAATGGTTTTTTTTTTTGGGAAAAAATTCGGGATTCAGGGGGATTAGGAAAAGTAGGGTTTTTGGTAAATAGAGTTTTGGATGGGGGGAACAAACTCCCAATTTCCCGTTTTTGAGGCCAGAATTTGTTTTGGTTTTTAAAAATTGGTTGGATAAAATAATGGTAGTTGGGGTGGGTTGGTTAGCCCTGATAGCTTTTGCTAACGGGGGCGGGTTTCCGTGTTCCCCCCCTTGAGTCAATGTGACCTGACCGGGTAGGTTGGGTGCATTGGCTTAAGCCGGTAGGGGGGCTTGGACCCGCCTGCATGGGCCGTAGGGGCCTTTGCCCGTGTTTTCCCTTTGTTCTTATGTTTTTTAT